ATACATTTTTATTATAAATGTATATAAAAAATTATAAAAATTGATATTAATTTTGATGTCAAGTGAATTTAATCGAATGATTGATAAATTAAATATTAATTTTTATTTTTTTAATATAAAATTCTAATGAAAATATGTATTTAATACACCCTTAAGGGTATAGATTAAACAAATCCTTATTAAAAAAATGAAATATTAATTATAATTAATAAATTTAATTAATACATAATTAAAATTTTATATTTTTAAATGAGTTATTGTGTAAAAAAATATATGAAGTATACATTATCAAATAAAGCCTATATTACAAGATATAAATGATATTTTTAATCAACTTCTCACGAAAAACAGTAGCATCATATTGTCTCATGACTCTTTAAGATAAATTTGGTTTAAAGGAAACAAAAGGAATGAAAAGGAATGGAGAAACGTTGTATCTTTCCATTTCTTTTTTCTCCCATCATTTGAATAAATGAACAAATTTTAAAAAATAAAATAAAAAGATTTTTCTTCAATCTTTTAATAATTAAAGTTTCATTTAATATGGTTGTAGTTTTTATTTTTTGTTTTAGTTTTTAAATTTTAAATAATTAATAATTAATAATTAATAATTAATAATTTATTACGTATAACATTTTAAAATAAATACTAGAAACTTCAAATTTAATTAATTTATAAAATTATTAAATTTTTAAAAATTAAAATCAAAACCTCAAAATTCTAACCATATTAAACTGTGCTTAAATATATAAATTTTCTCTTCTACCCTCTATTTCAATTTCAATTTCACTGCTTACCTAAAGATAACGAAGATCTGGAACTAGAACTGCAACATCACAGTTCATTTTTGGATAATTTTTTAGGCACGCCCTCTAACGTCCCAAATTGGAAACCTTAATCTTTAAAACCTTAAAATGGAAGTCTAACTTTTCTATTATCGCCACATCACCCTACGACACGTGGTGACGCTTGGTGCTGTGACGCTTGGCGCTGTGACGCATTGTCCCTTCTCTTTCTCCATATTTCCCAATATATCCCTTAGTTTTCCTAATATACCCCTCTTACCTAACAAAAGAACAAAGATATCCGTGTGTAATAATTAGCTTAATTGCCAAGTGGATTTCAACATCGGAAAGTATGAAAGTAAGAAAAATATAGCCCACAATATCATGCCCAATAATGATGTTTTATATCTATCGAGTCTTCAAAGTGATATTACATAGGGATCTTGGGTTTGATTTGACCTCAGCTAAATTGTTTCTTTTTTTCTAAAAAAAAAAAGGATTACCAATAATTAATTAGGAAAGTGTGTATATAACATTTTCAAGTTGTTAATAATTCCACCTTTTTCTTTACTAATTGTGTCAAGACATTTTTCTTTTTTGTTTTTACTAATTTTTCAGTATTTAATAATAACATTAAATTTTAATTAATTTTAAATTAAATTATGATTAATTTTAAATTAAATTATGTCAAATCCCATTTAAGAAAACTTTTCCTAACATTTATTTTTTCGTCCACAATACTCAAACTTAATACTTTACTTAATAAGAATTGAACTTCTTTCATTTAAATCAAGAAGTCATTCATTATTCTCTTGGCCTTTGAAGCGAAGATAAATTCGATGCGATTCTAATTGGGTTTTATTAAATTAAGGATTTATTAGTAAGAAGCAGGCCAAAAAGAAAGGTATTAGTAAGTAAATTATTCTAACTCAAAGAGTAGGTCCTATTATACTAGTGCTAGAACAATTAATGGCTTTAATCAAAGTTAATATTCATTTTGTCTTAAAATAATTGTTTATTTTTTAAAATTTTTTAAAATTAAAAGTTTAAAAATAATTTAT